AATAAAAAATACACATTTTAAGCATGATGTTTTGAAAGATCCATCTTTCAATTGGACTATTGTACACATATTTTATACATCACTGCATCGCATACTTTTAAGATGTATAGTTTGATCAATATCTTGTATTCCACTTTGTACCCTGAATTCAGTACAGTCAATTATTCCCCCCTATGAACAGCTTACATGTTTAAAACTTGATTTAACTAATTATGGTCTTCAGTCCTTTTAAAAAAGCAAATATTATGAAGGTAAGTAAGACGATTTTCCTTTTGCTTAGCTTTTTAGCAGTTTAATCTTCTTAACACATATGCAATAAAAACAACAATAATCTAATTATTAATAGTCATAATCTCTTAATGATACAAAAATAAAATGGATAATATGCAATTTTTACACCTACCATATTTGATCATTCTTTCTTCTTTTAGAATGATTTTTCTGTTTAACTTCAGCTCATTATTATCAAAATACAAGTAAGATAATAGTTTGCACAAATTACCTGGTAAATTTCTTTCAGGAAGATTTGGAGGAATGTTCTGGAACTTCTGTAATCATAAAGACAAGGAATAAAATGCTGGCTGGGCAGTAGAATCTTGCAGGTGTCAAATGAGTTACATAATTTATTTTTTTAGTATCAAAGAACAAGCTCTTTGCAAATTAGTAAGTGGCAATCCCTGTCCATAACAGCTGCAGGGTACTCTGGTTTCTTTTTCGCTCATTAATCTAAATATTCTTTAGCTTATCTAAGAGCCATTCAAAACCTTATGAACTTTGAATGATTTTTTTTTCATTTGCAGATTTGACTTTCCATTTCCCAATTTATTGTTACTTTTGTCTGGGAGTTACAAAGTCTTATCTCTTGCAGATTATGAATCATATTGGGTCAGATTTGATATAATACTGTAACATCCATCCATCTTTTAAACACTTTATTCAGTACATGGTCCTGCCAGAACGTCACTGAAAGCAACAGGCCGCAAGGCAGGATACACCCTGGAAGGGACACCAGTCCATCTCAGAATACCAGTACATATTTGATATTTTGTCATTCTCAACTTTAGAGTGAAAACAATATAACCAGATTTTTTTTCAATATGCTTTGAATTTAATTGTATAATTCACTACAGCATACAATACTTACTCCCAGGCCTGGAGATGAGAAATGTGGAGGACAAGATCGATCATATCGGTTATCTAAAGAAGATAAAAAAAAATAATCTAAGACACCTTTTTAACATTGTTTAAACCCAAATCAGGTGAATCACCCACAGCAGCCTTTTTCATGTGGATAGGAAGGCTGCAGTTTACCACTAGATGGCATATGTGACACATTTTTGTGTTAAATAGCCTGAAGCACATTTGAGGATATTAAAACTCTCTTCTTTATCAGACCTTATCATGATGAGAAAATATATTGAGTCAAATAATACAGAACTTTAGAACAGTTGAGTTTTTTAAAGTAATGATACTTTAAAAACTTCCCTGTTTAGAGAATTGCACTTTTGGGAATGTGGACCTTGTCCTTTGAATATAAATAACATGTGTGTCTATGACTGATTATCACTGTACAGCATTAATTGGGTCACTCTCACCTGCAGTGTTCTAATATTTGGATAAACAGAGCCTAGGCCACAGCTGGGGTATCTGAACTTGTGAAATTAGAATAATACCTTGAGTTTTAGCCTGGGGTCCCAAACACGGGTGATTATTTCATCATCTAATGAGAACCTTCGTCTTGTGATTTTCCAAGAAATCACATGTTTTTTTTTTTCTGATATGCTTGAGATTTCAATTCTGAGATTGGATGAGACAGATATCAAGAAGAAGCCTTGGCATAACCAGCCATATAAGACAATCTATCCCCACATATAAGCTGTTTATGGCAGGATTAATTAAATTGATCACGAATTAAAATGAATTAATAATTGGTATAAACATAATTTTCTTACACTTCTTTAGAACAAAATGACAGAGATAACATCTGTTGTCAATATACAGTACTTGTAATAATTTAATAAATCTTTTAATAGATTTTGATGTAGTACAAAACATGTCAATAACAAGTTGTAGGGTGCCGAAAGACATCACATACTGTAGATGCATATTTTTAAAGGGCTGGGTTTTATGCCAATGTTTCCTTTTAATGTGAACTTTAGCAGGACTGTCCAAAAGATGGCCCCAGAGCTGCATGTGGCACTTTGAGCTTCTGTCCATGGCTGTGTTGATTTTTACTGAGAAGCATTCAGTTGAAAGTTCCCCAGGTTTCAGTGTTATGTTATAGGTGATTTTTTTAAAATACATTCATTTGTAATTTTTGTGTTACACTTATTTTGTATGCAGGAATGTATTATACTGTACTTTTAAAGATTATTTTTGAAAATGCAGATGATTTCCATATTAACCTGCATAGTCTGGCTCGGGATTTAAAGGTTTTGCAGGGTGAATCTTGACATTTCGCAATTCTTCTTGATCTTCTACGGTATTGTAATCACCTTCTTTGGAAGGTTCAGAATCATCATCCCCATCACTGAACCAGCTGCGCTCAGTCACATTCCTCCTCACTACATGGTCCTGTTTTAAAATATCACAAGGGGAAAAGTGTTTTAATGAAATAGTATTATTGATATGAAAGATTTTTTTCCTTTAAAAATATTTCCAGTATCTCTGTGTAAAGTATAATTTAATTTCAAAATGTAATGTCATTATTTTCAGTTTACTAATGTGGAATTCTATCATTCATATGCATCTTGTATTATGTATGAGTACAAGGTATACATATGTGTACAAAGAGAAGCATTTCCTGAATAGAAAGTAACTTGTAACATCGCTTTTTGGACCTCATCTGATACCATGGAAATTCTAAGATTTTATAAACGATACAATTTTTCTAAGTTACATAATAAGAAAACACATAGCATGACTTCAGTATCGTTTCTTTTCCAATTAAAAAATGAGAGCCTTACAAACAACTTCTGGGTCACATTTGTAAGTTTTTGTAAATGGAGTAACAGGAGTGAAGCCAACAACTGTTAATTGATCAATGATCACAGTAATTTCTTGAATATGTTTTGCAAATGTAACATTTTGAAAAATATAATTGTCGATGTAATTGTTACATCTTGTGCTTTGGGATTCAATCAAGGATTAGAGATGAAAAACAAACAGATAGTGCGGACACTTTTACTTAAAATGAAAGTGAAAAATACAGGAAAACGCTGAGCAGAGAGACTCAGAATTTGAAAAGAGTCAAGAAAGGACCAGTGGCATTGGAACAAAAATATCTAATGTATAGACATAAGTTCTTCACTGGAAGAGTTGTTACATACTGTATTTCTGTTGTATTAATGTTGGTGGCCCAATATGTTGCACTTTTTCCTATGGACAACAATTTTTCTAAACCAATGCCCCAGTCTGCTGACCAAGGACAATGCAGTTGAGATGGTAAAC